TGGTGTACGGTAGTAGTTTGAAGGGCCTGCATGCCGCAAAAGTAATTGTCCGATGCAACCTAATACCAAGGGCCGGGCCAAGTGTTGGAGTAGGTCTCGCAATGTATGGGTGTTTGGCCAATCCAAAAGTCATATTGTTGGCATTTACTAGGCTGTTACTCGAGTGGAATATGGATGTGAATGGATGCCAGAGGACGAGTGCAACGGGCAAGAAGTGTGCGAGCTGAACAACCAAAAAAAGCGGACCAACCGAAGGAGGAAGGGAATGAATGTGGACAGCCAGGGGAATGATCGCACATGGAGCAAAGGTCACAGACTAGTGTAGAGATCAAAAGCGCTCATTGTAGTAGCGGGAGCACAAGATCCACGGAGGCACATCGCTAGACTGCCTCGAGCAAGGGCAATGCTTAATCGGGTCGGAAACATGGAGACGAACCACAGAGTAATTCTTGGACCACTTCTGAGCCAAAAGCTTGGAGAGCCATTGGAGAACAACAGGAGCAAAGAGGCCGTCAGCAGGTGGGGTGGGCGACCGAAGGTCCAGGAAATGATCATGGGGCATGTGCGATTTGCTTGCTGTCTCCGTTGGTAGCATGCTGTCACCGTCGGATAGCAAGTAGATCAAGTAGAAGGGTTTAAATGGTGCTAAGGTAGGCCAATGATAGCTAGTTAGGAATTTGAATTTACCCCGGTGCATGCGTGTCATTGGAATTTTTGGAAGCATTCACACGTGCCCGACGTTCCTTTGCCATGAGGAAGCTTATTGTATGCAGCTGCATCAGCCAGTTTCATCCATTTAAACCAGACCACACCGAGGTTGGAGGAGCCAGGCTGAAGATCAGAGACACGCTGGTCTCCCAGGGCCAGGTTGGTAACAATCCAGGACAAGCTGATCCCAATGTTCACCCCCAAGATGTAATAAAGTTTCATGAACCACATGACGTCGTCCAAGACATCATCGAATCTTGGGAACTCTGATACTGCCGTTGTTGGTGCTGCTGACTCTGGAGGCAGCATTGCCACTTGGACCAATCGTGGGGAAAGCGCTGGGGCTCGGCATGGGATTGTCGCTGGGAACATCCACAACAATTATGTCTTTGTCTTGGTTTTCTTCTTCCATCTTGTACACCATTTTCAAGGACATTTGAACCAGGCAGCGCAGCGCCACATACGCCATAAAGAACATGGCCGACATACAGCAGCACCAAACCACAAAGGTGGTGCTGGCATAAGGCCCGGCTTCGGTTCCCCAAATCGCAATATTGACCAAATTTCCAGCCAGCGTGGCTAGCTGCACGGTAGCTCCAACCACAATGCCAATCCCTAGTCCCAGTTTCTCAATGCAAGGTATCAACGATGTCTCGTAATCGTTCACACTGTCTCCTTCGTCGTCTTCGTCCAGCTGACTGTTCTCTTGCATAGCATCGTTGCTGGTGGTGGCAAATGGATCGGGAGGGATGATGATCCCCTCATCCAGCCCATCGTCAAAGTAATCGTTGGTACCATCCAACAAGGGCTGATGGTCAACGCCGGCGTACATTAATGGTGACATTTTTCGTTGTCTTCTTTCTTATGAGTGAGATGATTTGATGGGTATGGGGTGCTCTGCAAAACCAGTCTTTGGGAATGGCTTCAAAACCGCGAAGCAAGTAGTTGTCAGGAATACTAGCAGAAACACATTGAGTGTTTTGTCAATGCAGCCTTCCTTTGCTTGGTCTTGTCCTCGGTTGGCCATCAAAGTCCCAGTATGACCGCCAGAATTCGTCTGAAGTTCTCATCAAATTAGAGGGAAAGAGAACTGGTGACTGGAGGAGAATTGAAAGGGGCTCGAGGAATAACGGTGGTACCGTGGTACCGGTACCGGTACTGTACAGTACCCTCTTTTTGCCAGCTCCGACCCGATTCGATTGAATCTGCCAGTCCTTGCCAGCCCCATTTTTTTCCACGTTTCAGAGCTCAAATAGCATCACCCTCCACAGAGCTCCACCCTCCCCAACTGTCAGATCAAGAACTATGGATGAGGAAAAGAAAGAAATACTAGTAGACGACAAGGAATATGTGCATGTAGATGCGGCAAAAAAGATCGGAATCGAGTCTGAGGCAGAGAGCGAAGACTATAGTTTCGAGGAAGAGCTTGAATTGCCCTCAGAACTTGGAGGTTTGAAGGATAAAAGTTCAAATTTGAGGAGGATCTTGAAGCAGAACTGCAAAGTCGTGGCTTTCCGGATCTTCCGGTTGTCCTTGACCCCAAGAGTGGAAAGGCCAGACTCAGAATGCCAACGGGCGCCCACAACAAGGTCACGTCACTCTATGCAAAGTTGTTTGATGACAGCTGGAAGGGTGTAGCGTCAGTGGTCAATTACTCAGACAATAATGTTTACATCGAACCAACAAAACCTGGTCGCAATATATACACAAGGGAACCGGACATTGCCTTTTGGGGACCCGACAAGACAAGAAGTGTCACAAGGCGTGGGGCGAGTTCTTCATATCCTCTGGAATTGGACAATCCACCAAAGCGATTTGCCAACCGAGATCAAGTGGAAAGAGTCAACCCTGATGTTGCCATCCAGTTTAGCTGGAATAATGGAGATTCCTACGAAGAAAGGCGATTGATGACATGATGAATCGAGCGCATGTGGTTCAAGCAAACAACAGTCCACCAAAACTCGGCTACCTCATCAAGATCCGCACCAAGGCTAACAAGAGAACTGCCAATGACCGCTTGATTTTGCGAGCAATTGATGTTTATAGAATTCCCAGGGGTGCTACAATAAAAGATGCCATCAACGAAACAAAAAAGGGGCATGCTTTTCGAGGTACATACCAGGTGGGCCTAATGTTGTGATTCAAATCACGCCCAATGATCTTGGGATCCAATCTGGGACAACCTCCCCACCCACATTCGAGATTTATGCCAGTGACATATTCAATGATCTTTCTTAGGCCACACCTCAGTTGACGATCTTTCCCTGTCAGCTGATCCATGCGTATTGGTACCGGGTGGTACCGGTGCATCTCCTGCCAATGCCAAGTACTACTAGCTACTAGTACCTTGCAAGGCTCCAGCTCTTACCATGCATTGTATAAAGAGAGCGCAACAGATGGTAGGAAAGCGAGTAGATGAAGCTCCTACTTCTGGAATCAAGAGCTCAGTGGTTGGTTTTTGATAGTTACATGTATCCGCTGATATACAATCGTCTTGTCCTTGGAAATGCGAGAAACTGGCTTTTGCAATGCAGGAACCTATCATAAGGCAACGTGCTGAGCCTATGACTGCATTCGCTAAGATATCATTGACAACATGCATAATATAATTGAAACTACTCGTAGCCGTCATCATCGTAGTATTCGTCGTCCCCGTACTCCTCTTCCTCCTCCTCATCTTCCTCGTCGTCGTCGTAGTCTCCGTACTTTTCTGCTTCCATCTCTTCCAGCTCCTCACGAATATCGTCTTCCATTGTATAGATGCAATTCAGTCGTTCTGCATGCTCATAGTCACGGAGATGCAACCAGAACGTACTGGCGTACTTGAACCCTTTGTAAATCTCGTTAGCTTCGTGCCAGGTACGGTTTTCAGCAGCCCATGGCTTGTCATTCAGCACATTTGGCCAAATAACGGCTCGTCCTAGCTTGGGCTGGATGCACACGTCCAAATTGGGGAAGCAAGTGTCGCCTCCCAGGTCCTCTTCAATATCATTTAGGTAGAGCAGTAAGGTAAAAAGACGGGGTCCATGCATAGTTTCCATCTCCTCGGGAATATGGTCGGAGTGTCTTTTTACACGAGGCGACGCCCAAGGAATGTGAGCACGGACCTTGAGAAAGGAGGGATTCTCACAAAACAACGCTTCAAACTTGCCTTCCATACTTCTGGCCGGGTTCGTATTCGATGAAATGAATGGGTTCTGCATACTTCCATGGTAAATTGACGAGATCTTCGACTCTCTGGATGACACTCTGCATTTCAGGTCTCCGCAGGCAACCCTCGTTGCACCATGCCTATGCAGAAGTAGATTGGAAATAATAATAAACAGAAATCAGCTGATAAGAACGAAGCGGGGACAAAAATTGGCCCAACTTGCAGCTCTGGACTTGCCTGAGTTGAGTGGCAAACACCCCCTGCATCATTTGCCTTTTCCAGGCCTGCTTCTGCTGCTCCGCTCAATACCTCCAATTGGGTCTCTTTAATCATAACCATCGCTTCGGGCGGCTTGATAAAATCTTCCAGTTGTACGAGCCAGGGATCCCTCGACAACACGGTTGGTTTGTACTGCGGAAATTCACGAAGGATTCTCTCGTACGTTGCATCGAGGTCTCCAGGTTTCCACACATCCTCGGTTTCAGGCACTTGAAGGTTGACACAGTGTCGTACGTATTCCTGAATTACATCGTCGATTTCATCTCCAACATCCATGGAACAGGCCTGGCAGCCCAAGGGGCAATCGGGTGACAATCGACGGTCGCGAAATCGGAGAGTCTTATCAGCCACAAAAAGCGGCTCGCAGTGCATTTCTCTCGCCCACTTGGGACATAGCTCATCTGGTAAACTCTTGAAGGCGGGGGTTATGGAATCGGTCTCCAAGGAATATACCGCCGAAATCAAGAGAACGAACACCAACTTATTGAGGGAAATCGTCATAGCTCTCAACGGAAGAATAACGGGGGCGATCTAAAGAAGGTCGAAGAGAGGTCCTGGTAGAGCAACGTTGATCTCGATGTGCCAGTGATGGATATCCCCACCTCGGCCCCTAGCCAGCCTATCCACAAGAAGTTCCAGATCCCTTGCAATGCCTCTCACTCCAAAAAGAAAAGGGGCACTTCCTATTGTGGCAATCTTCGCATCCAAGCACAGATGAAATAATCTTGACCTGAATGCTTCTAACGTAGAAAGATGCCAGAGAGCAAGAGGTGCGCCGAAATTTTTTCATTTGTGCGTTTGTCTGAAGGGAGATTGATTTCATCCGTGCAAAAGTATCTTTCGCTTCTACAGCCTTTCTGGCTAATGCAAGTCAACTTTTAAAATGTATGGCCATCGAAACATTTGAACTTCAGAACTCGATACATCCAGCTCCAGCCCACTTGCGTTGATTGCTATTACCAGCGCTATCAATTGATAAAAAGAAATAATCTAGCTAGCATTTGTTTCGTGTATGACAATTTTCGGTACCTGGTACCGGACGCTGGCATCAGTGCCATCCATTGAAAAAAAGTCGGAGGTCCCCAGCAGGGGCAAACTGCACAAACATCATCTCATCAGCTCTCAGCGTCTAGCGCGCTCTCACGGTCAGTAATCTTGCACTTGTCGCATTGATGACACTAACGTTTTTTTAGGTCACGGGATGCGTTTCCCGCAACAATACCGGTACTCTCCGGCACGCAGGAGGTACAAATTATCGGCGGGAGCTGATTTCCCCGTTGCGGTGCAACAATTCACCTGCTATTTCATTTGGGCAGGCCCAAAAAGCCATATAATATCTTGTGTTTCTTCGCTGACCCCTTGTTGATAGCGCAAATTCCACAGACGCGTTAGTCGGGGACAGGGCAGAGTTTCTTCAAAAGCCCGAACAAGTTCCGTCTCTCTCTTGGCATTGTATCCAATGTAAACAGGGACAGCCGCATGGGATTGAGTGGGTGCCATTCGTTTCAAGCAAGTAGCTAGTTGTTTCGGTGTCACATTGGCAAATGGAGGATCGATAAAGACGGCATCATAATCGTACCGGGTAACCAAGAATGGCGCTGTGAGATCAAAGCGTTGGTATCCAGATAGAAAGCTGAAACGTTCGTCTCTATCCAACAGCATGTACGGTCGATTGTTCTTTTCAGCTTGGACCGCCAGAGAAGGATTGCAAACCAACAAGGGCTTTTCATATCGATCGACCAGTTGGTACAACTGCCGACAAGTAACTTTGTCGTAAAAGAATTGCTCGTATTCATGCAATTCCTTCAAACCAGCCAGCGTCCCCGGAGCGCGTCTCGAGGCTGTGGACACTTGTGATACTTCCTTCAATATCGGCTCTGTCTGTTTGCCCACTCGTGTGTTTTTCTTTTTCTTCTTTCGGGTGCCAGATTTCCCTGATAAGGAGGTGGCAATCCGAAACGACGGGACGGCTGTCACTACCCTCGAGGACACGCTGAAAGCAATAGAAACCTTCCCTTGGAGGAGAAGCACCAAGACGAAAAGCAAACAACGTCGCTTCCAATAGCAAGTAACCCCACCATGAATCTCTTTGGTGCCCGCCATTGTCATCTTCCAAGTTGTTCGCATGTCATTTGGCGATGGCTATGCAATAGTCCCGACATCTTCCAAAGGAAGATGGGACACTCATGCACGACTTGGAAAATGTCCGTGCATACATTGATGATCAACTCATCCTAACTAACGCGATTTAGTGGATCATTGAATAGTTAGATGAAGTTCTCCTAAGCTTCGAGAAGCCGGACTTAAGATCAATACTACCAAGTCCTTCTTCGAAAGAAGAGAACTTGAATATCTAGGCTACTGGATTACTTAGAAGGAATCCACCCGTAACCAAGAAAATAGACGCGATCCAGAATATCGTCCTCCTACGAACAGGAAGAAACTGGTAGATTCATTGGAATAGGAACTACTATCGAGACATATGGATCGAGAGATCACATGTACATATAACGTCGAGGATCCCAAGAAAAGGAATCCTGTCCATTTCATTGCTTACAATGATTATCCCGTAACCGAATGGTTCGAGATTGCCGAGATCTGCTCCAATGCAGCAACGAAGTAGCCATCGTTCTAGAACAGACGTGGCTCAACCAGTATCCATGGCCTGCTGAGGTTATCATGGATAGCGAACGTGAGTTCCGCGCAGAAGTCGAGAGCTCTCCGGGATGATATGGACTTCGTCGCAAGTTCATACCACACTGTTCAATCATGACGCGATTCACAAGTCCTTTCGAAGTAAACTGGAACCATAAGGAACGTCGCCAACGATCATCCAGAAACACACTGATAAGGAAACGCGACGCGTGTCCTCATCAATACAATGTCAACGATCTGTGAGGTTTCACAGTATCAGCACCGCAAGTACGGTCGCCAAGTACAAAGGTCCTACAATATGACCAAGTCAATACAATGGACTGTACGGCTCCGACATGCTACCGCCAATGGCGGCACAGCTATCAGACTTGGAACATAAGGTATTTACACCCATCAAAGGCCTGATCCCCTTGTAGGATTGCCATCGTGCGACGACATGTCTACATCCAATCTCCGGAGAGTGCCCCGCACTTTAATTCATATGTTCTCCTTTCCACTGATGTCGTGCCTTCTGTGACCCTTGTCAGGGGGCGAATGCAATACACGCTCTTAGCCTTATTCGCGACTCGATCCTAGATAGGGTTGAGTTCGACTCATGACGTAGTCCTTCGCGAATAGTCATTGAGACAGGGTTCTCATGACTGCTAGTCATACTAGGTTGTCGATGAAACATCGCTCTACTAGACAGCTACTAGCTGAGTTTCCACGTGTTCCGGAAATGGACCGTGGGGTACGTAGAGTTATTGCCATAACCTACGATATCACACTTCGAGGCCTCCCGCGGGAGACCAACTTCAATGAGCTTCACAACGATCTCTCTCATGGATTAGTTTTTGTAGCTTTCTAATCTCTCTCATAACTTTCATTCTCTCAAACTCAAAACACTCGAAAGATCTTTACACTAGCTTTTAGCGTAGTGCAATATCACACTTCGAGGCCTCCCGCGGGAGACCAACTTCAATGAGCTTCACAACGATCTCTCTCATGGTTAGTTTTCGTAGCTTTCTAATCTCACTCATAACTTTCATTCTCTCAAACTCAAAACACTCGAAAGATCTTTACACTAGCTTTTAGCGTAGTGCATTCGCGATGAACCCCATATCCAACTTAGTCGCTCTGCAGCTACGGATGCCTTGCCTTCCAGCGACTCTCCTGTAGTTCTCACCCCATCTGAGGAACGAGGTGATCTCCTTGTCCGTGGCCTCTGGCAACGTGGAATGACGGCATAATTGATTTCGTGTCATCAATCTTGATCTGCTTCTCACTGTCGAAGGATCCTGACAAGATTCTTCGCAATGGCGAACGCGACAAGAAACGCAAGTATCTCGACCTGTCTTCCAACGCCGCCACTTTACACCGTTTGTTGTCTCTGCTGATGGTCTCCTTGGGGCCGAAGCTGAGGCACTCGCCAACCGTATTTCCTGTTGCTTGCTGCAAAGTGGGAACCCTTATCAGTGGTGCGTGGCTATTAATGCTCGGCTCAGCCTAGCTATTCTTCGGGCCCGTCACCTCTGCATGCATGGCTCTCGTGTCCTGGTGGCACAATGAGCTACCGCGTTCTCTCTGGGCGTTGCTCAATCGTGCCGTGGTTGTGTTTAGGGCAGAGTTTTGAAACTCTGCCCTAATTCAAACTCTGCCCTAATTTGGGCAGAGTTTCAAACTCTACCCAAATTAGGGCATGGTTTCAAAACTCTACCCTTAATTAGGCAGAGTTAAACTCTGCCCTAAATTAGGGAGAGTTCAAACTCTGCCCTAATTAGCTGATTTGCCCTATTAGGCAAGTTTCAAACTCTCCCAAATTTCATGTTTCAAATCTGCCCTAAATTTCAAACTCTGCCCTAATTTAGGGCAGAGTTTCAAACTCTCCCTAAATTAGGGATGTTTAAACTCTACCCTATAATTAGGGCAGAGTTTCAAACTCTGCCCTACAGAAAATCCAACCCTAAATCCTGGGTTCCCCATTCGCACCCACTGAGGCACGCTCCTGGGATGCCGATGGTGCACTTGCACTCTTCCGCTAATTTGCTCCCTTCTGCATCCTCATTTCCCTCCACGCACCCCCTTCCCCTGCCCCCCTTTGCCCTGCTCTGGTCCTCATTGCTCTCCCCGTATGCCCACCACACATCCGCCCACCACCGCAGCACTGCTCTGCCTAGCTAGCTTAGCCCCCTCGCTCCTCAACGTATCTATTTAGTATTTTTTTCTTCTGGTCTGTGTCTCCAACAGCTGTACCGGTACCGGTACAACCATCCGATCCTCCCA